AGAGAGAGACTGGGGTAAGACCTATGGAAGGAGGACTGCGTAACAATATGACAGACTCCGATCAACATTCTCAGCACAAATATGAAGGGCGGTGAGAAGGCCAGCGTGGAGTGCGGAGAGTTCTCATGATAGGAGGAAATAGGAAATGTGAATAGGCCAGGGCAGAATGGGAGATACCATAACTGTTTAGCACACATTTAGGAGGGTTATGGGTAATGTGATAAAGCAGGGCAGAACGGGAGATATCATAACTGTTTAGCACACGTTTGGTCAATGGATCGGCTTCACTTGTCTCCTTAAGCAAGTTAAATATCGTGACAGTGAAGGCGTGATTGGAGGTTATAGGTAATGTGATAGGCCAGTGGATAGGAAGATATCATAACTGTTTAGCACACGTTTGTGGTTATAGGTAATGTGATAGGCCAGGGCAGAACGGGAGATATCATAACTGTTTAGCACACGTTTGGTCGAACGATCGACTTCACTTGTCTCTTTGACGAGTTGTAAGATAGTGCTAAATGGCGAGACTCACTGACGATGCCGACTACGATGCCGGCGAAACGTCTGGGAATGTACCACGTCCACGGTCCGACTTTTGAAATAATTATGCATACAATGGACTCAGGACTAGGTGTGTGTCTATAAGTCTTTCTACCATTATGACCGAGTTGCGAAAACAAGGTCAAACAACTTCTATTATTCCCAGTTATCTTACTTGGGACGCATTATTGATAAGGAATTCAGAAACTCTTAGAAACCTATTTATGGAAGTAAGTTCGGAATTAATTGATCGTGCTACACTTTCTAGAAAAAAATTGGCATAGTAGGGATCAGCTATCTATGCGACCTAATAAAAAACTATCGTGACAACAAGAGGTTTGAGCATAAATAAGGTAAATAATCGGGACCAGAAAACGGGAACATTAATGATGAACTAAGAAATAATAAGCGGCTGAAAGGGTGACAAGTGTGGGACACCAGAAGCAGTAACTTTAGGATCGAATTTTTTCAGAGTTCGTAAACTTTCCAGTTGAGGGAAACATCAGAGAAGTAATAAATTATAATAAACATGGCAATCCTTATTATAATTGACAAGTGCTGTACAGACCGCAGTAATTACCCCTAACTATCAGATATAATTAAGATGATGAGGCACGAATAGTCGTTACTTCAAAGGAAGAGGCTTGATTCACATGAAGACTAGTTATAGGTCTAATGCCTTAAACGATTTATGAGTATTGTACATACACAGCACAAGTTCAGGCATACACCATAACATGCATCGACATTTGCCACTGTCGCATCAAATTTACGTATGCTTAAGTGCGTCAGGATAAGCATGGTACGGCCTGCTCATTCCTTACGTATATATAAGATCCGACCACAAGAAGTAGGTATGGTTGCGGCCAGTCATCATTATTGACTCAATGTTTGACGAATATTTATAAAATGTGTTTCGAATATGCTTGTCATCCTAAGATAGATGAAATCTCTGCAGGAAAGTATGCCAAGGACATCTTTCCGTACAAATAACGACCCAAACTTCAAACCAATCGTTATTCAGTTTCCAGAAAGGTCGATTTAAAAATCCCTTCAACCAAGCTTTTAATTAGAAGGGAAACCTTCGAGTATATGAAATCGTTGAATGATTCTACTAAACCAAACTCTATACCATATTTGAAAGTCTATGTTGCTCGATTTTGTCTTATCATAAAAACGTTAATTAATTTGTTATTAAAATCATTTGCTTTTACGGTTGGCTAATGCAGCAAGTCACCATAATACGATTATTTCCTATCCTCTAATGCCTTGCTATGGGACTGAAAGCTGACTGAAAATATTTCGAAATAATAATCTAAATGTTATTAATAAATATACTAAGGCCTTTTTATCTTTACTCTAATTTCATACGATTTTTAACTATTTTTGTATACTTTTAATTATTTATGCTTTCTAATGTCAGGCTCCACAGAAAAACACTTTAGCTACATCCCTGCGAGATGAAGAAACCGACAACTCACCGCCAAGATCATCTAGCACTGACCCAAACGAGCATTCACGAAATTACTGGCTTAGCGACGCCGAAGTGACAACATACCTACACGAGATGGCGATTCGCCAAAATGTATCACTAAATCATCTTAAGGAGCACTTACTGGCCTCGGTGAGCTAGCTGCATGAGCAATTTTGGGGATACGGCATCTAAAAGTCTATGAAGTTTTAAAGTGTCTTACTAACTAATGGTAAAAAAAAGTTCATTCAAAATATTATTTATTAATCGCATATGGGGAGTTTCCAATTATATAAAAAAATCTACCCTGAAATTTCTTTATACACAGACTAGCCTGGTCAGGGTGACTGACGGGTCCCCGTGAAATTAGCTAGTTTTAAAATAATGTATAATGTATCAAGTAATTTTTTTCCATCTATTTATAATAAGTATCATTCTACATCGGATTTTGGCGCAGCGGTCATCACTTGTCCTTAGAAAGTGTAGGAAAAAAGCATTTAAAAAAATGCATACTATCTTTTCCGTTCTCTGGTCAGTAAGTTATAAAAATTGGGACATTTCAGCTGCTTAGAAGACTTGAAAAGATGTTTAAACGGAGATACGAAGATGAAGGGGCTGTGGTCTCTATTTTGGTCGAAGTCTCCTTTCGATGTTGTCTTATCTCGTTTTCACGACTTAGTTGGACGCAATTTGTCCGAAGCCCTCTGCTCTAGTAGTTATCATATTTCCCTGTGTCGGACTGTAGACTTGTTACATTCTCAGACCTTTCGCCGACATTGTCACTAAGTCTTGCCATTCTCAGCACAAAGCTACAACTCGTCAGAGAGATAAGTGAAGTCTTTCCCTTGACCCTTTTAGAAAAAAATTTAATTAACGAGCGATTGGAAGAAGGCATAGTTCGCGATAACTTTGCCTATTGCCTATTGCCTAATCAAGCGCGGAAAAGAGAAGGATACAAGATAAACAAAAAGGAGGCGTCTGGATCAACTATCTTTCGTCGATCAGAGGAAAAGGGATCGCAAGGAAGAAGAGGGTTAGGAAGTTTCAGCAATAAAGCGAAGACGCTCTAAATGAGCGCAGTCTGAGCGAAGAAACCATTACAACTTTGGGGACCTGACAGTCATGTGACTAGGGCGACGGATAATCACAACCGTCACATAAATTCGGCCTTATAGCCAACTTGATTGGAAATCCACTCGATAGGTAGCAGGCGACCAGAGACAGAGGGAAATAATTTTTTCATAGCACATAGGTTTAACCAATTGGGTTAAATGTAAGGGCATTGTCTAATATCCGCAAGAATTGGAATCGGAACCTATGCGCTCTTCGGGTGAGGCAATATTGTACGTTCTATGTAGGCTTAACAAATATCGCCCGAAGTAGAAAGTACACGCGCTGGAACCGAGTGAAATCAGTCAACCAGAAGGATAAGAAACTGATCGACTGATCCATGAGATAGATTTGGATAGGGGGTCCGAGTGCGAGTCGGATCAACCACCCGAAAGAGAAGGATACAA